AGTAAAAACAGCAACAAGGGATAATGATTATATTAGCTAAAAGAAAATATTGGCACAGGAGCTAATGGATGCAAGCCAACCATGAATTCACTTTGGTTGGTATTCAGAAGACACTTTCTTACTATCAGAAGAGTGACATTCTGGAGCATCCTTTCAGTGGAAGTTGTAGGAGGAAGAGGCATGATTGCTTTTAAGATAAAGATCGATCAGTTTACAATGGGGATTGGATGACAGCATGCCCATAAAGCAAGGAACAGCCTTGGACGACCTAGAGCATTTTATTTAGTTTGGTGAAAGCATTGCAAATTACCTGCTATGTAAACAGCTGCAAGATATGAAATGCCTTGCAACAACATTCCTTCTCCACACATGTACCATTCTGGAATGCACAGTGGTGATGGACAGGACACTTGTTTTTATTCATCTGGTACCTGGATCAATGTGTCTTCTTATTGCCTTTCTCATGCCAAAATACGCTTGGTGTCTGGAGCTCTTTCCACACTTTGCCTCTTACTCACATCTTTGCATTAGCACTGCAGCTGATGGCACACCACAGCCATAAGATTTGCATTAGTTCAGTTGGCAATTCAAGAATTGTGTGGGCAGTATCATCCTGTTGACAGTCTCCCTCTGCACATTCCATTGCCACTTTTGTAGAAGCATCGAATCATTAAGGTTGGAAAAGACCCCTAAGATTATTTAGTCCAACCACCCAACCACGCTTGTTAAACCTTGTCCCTCAGTGATCCATTCACACTTTTCTTGAAAACTTTCAAGGACTTTGTAGATTTTCAGGGTGCAGTGAAGACTTCTGCTCTTCCCAAAAATTCTCATCTCCAAATGCAATATCTCTAGCTGGAAGCAGAATCAAATAGGCAGCCTAGTTTCATAGAAATAGCCATGACCCATCAACATTATTTGAAGAGAATAGGGTTGCCTTTCCCTCCAACTGGCATCAAATGCAGGTCTCCTCAGCATGTTGCCTGTGGCCATTAAAGAGGTATTTCTGCACTGCTGTCAACTGGGGTTTGCACAAATGCATGGCTGGTAAGACATCTGAGTGTGACTGATATGATTTGGAGCCCAGAGCACACTCTTCCTGTCTGGAATCCATTATTCCTGTTGTAATGCGTAGTTTGTTTCCCCACCAGATGGAGGAGAATGTTGCCTTTCCATCTCTCTCAGCATGTGAATAGGAGCAGCAGGAGAAGGTGAGTGTCCATTGTGACAGATGCTGTGGCTCTAGGGGATATTCAGGCTGTGGTACTGATGTTACAAATGACTGCACACACCCGTGTGGCTTTGTTAATGACTATATTCCCAGCTGAAGAAGTAAGGAAATGAATGCTTCCTGCAGAAACTGGAGATAAATGGGAAGTAATTTAAGTCAATCCCCAATACTGAAACAACGCAGATGACAAATCTTTTGAATTTTTGCATCTCTAGAGAAGCAAGCCTATGCTCAAATAGTGCTTGATTGCCTTCTTTATATATCAGACTAAGGAAATTATACAGTTGAGGTAATTGCCACCCAGAGTTTATTTTACCTGAAGTCCACTATAACATTATAGTCACTTCATCCATAAGAATTTCCATAACCTTTTAAAATGCATTTATTTCTCAGAGGGCAGTTTGATAGCTGGTGACATACAGGCGTTGTAATGTGCACAGAGTAGAATGCCTGTGCTAAGCAAAACAGACTTTTCATGGAAAGGCAGAGATCAGGGTTTTAATCCAGGTCTCATTCCAGTCAATGTCAAATCATCTTGGAATCTAGGAAAAAATTACAGAAAAATGGGACAGGACTGAAAAAAGGTTTTGGAGTTTCAAAGTATGATGAAGAACTGATAATTGTTCATACAGCTCTGAGAGCTGCATTTAATTTTGTATGTAATGTGGCTGTGGGCTTCTGCTCGTTTTACTGTTCACTCTTTTGATATTCATTGCACTTGAGAGTCACTGGGCTAAGTACTAAAAAAGCACCAAAAAAAAAGAGAGGGCTATTGAATCTGGAAACTTGCTCCTCAGTATAGGCAGCAGACAGACAGGAACAGATGGTGGATATAATGTGGGAAAAGCATGACCACTCAATAGTGTGGCTTACTGGGCAGTAATCCCTAGCACAGAACTAATCTCACATCAAGCATAAGCAAGTATATGCACATCCCAAAATGCTTTGCATTGTTAAGAGTTCTTCAGTCAGTATGCATCTCATTGCTAAGGAGACACATGAGGGAACACACTGAGTACTCTTTTAGCAGTTTGTCTCCCTGGAATGTAGGCAAAAGAATGCAAGATGCTCTGAGTAAAATCAATGAGGAATATTCTCAAAATACTCTGAGATTGGCTAATGCTGCACATCAGATCTTAAAAAGTATGGAGACTCTCTGCTTTTCTGATTCCCTCACTACAACCTTTTCAATTCAAGGATACAAAAATAAAGGAAGGGAGTGAGGGAGGGAGGGAGGGAGGGAGGGAGGGAGGAAAGAAGGAAGGAAGGAAGGAAGGAAGGAAGGAAGGAAGGAAGGAAGGAAGGAAGGAAGGAAGGAAGGAAGGAAGGAAGGAAGGAAGGAAGGAAGGAAGGAAGGAAGGAAGGAAGGAAGGAAGGAAGGAAGGAAGGAAGGAAGGAAGGAAGGAAGGAAGGAAGGAAGGAAGGAAGGAAGGAAGGAAGGAAGGAAGGAATTCTGTTGAGTGTGAAGGATTTGAAGCAGTTGCCACTCTTGGATTTGCTGTCAGCATCCTACATTTCCCCACCCAACCTTTATAGTCCAGGTGTACACTCTGAAAGGATTTCTAGATTTTCTAGTACAGGGAAAGACTGAATCACTTAATACCAGCCAGAAAATACTAGTGATTTGTGTTGGCTGGTTCTTTGTATTAGCTCAGAAAAATGGGAATGATTGAAATGAGCTTTTCTGTACATTTCTGCTCTGATGAGAAGTGCAGTAGGAAGGACTACATGTTGTTATTGTTGTTATTACTATTACTATTACAATTACTACTACTCCTACTATTATTATTTTTTGTGGGAGGAAGGGCACATAAGTAAGTCTCACCAAGGGAAATCTGAATGATTGGTGCTTCAGTAGCTTTATATGCAAGTATCCTGCTATATGCTTATTTTTGCAAATTCATCTGCAAATTCATTCTCTCTCCTCCACAAGCAATCACCGTCACATTCTAATACCTCTGAACCATCCAGTGCTGAAAACATTAAGCTGTAGGGGAGCTTGAATCCTTTCTCATTTTATGGTACAGGATATTAAACATACCTTCCCTGCACATTTACTGGCTATCATTATCAAATACTTGTCATCATCAAATACCAGGGTAATTTAGGTGTTTGATTTTCAAAGCAATCTCTGTTCCTTTAGGCTGCACCTAGCCTCTCCCAGCCATGCTAATGTCTTATTCTGACTTGCTGCTGTTTCCTTTAGGCTGACATGTACAAGCACTTCCAGGCATTGCCTGCTGCTTCCATGAAGTCTGTAGCACCAGCAAGATGGCAAAGAGCACAGCATGGTGAGTTCAGCCTCTGGTAAGGTTCTGGCCATAAATCTGCAAAGGCACTTTTCCACTGGGTTATGGGTTGGAGAGCAAGGAGCACTTTTAGAGAGTTTTGTCTGCAGCGGACATGCATGTGTACATGCATGGCAACCTCTGCACAGCTCTTGTGTTTATCCTAAGAGCTAGTGGAGCTGTGCATTGTGGTTGAGCAACTTTATTACCATCTGTAATACGGATCACACTATACATTCATGTAGTGTAACAGACATTGGCCCTTCTCCCTTTTTAATTCCTCTAAGCCCTACTGTAATGAAGAAATTGTGTTCTGTATTCCTTAAGTAACAAAACCATCAGCAAGACCAGAAAGCTGATGTGTAAGCACTGGGGAAGCAGCATATCAGTGATGGGACAGGTTTACCTTTATGTATGGCTGGGAATGGTGGTCTGCAGGCAGCATGTGACTGGTAGTGGTCCCTGACAGTCATGAGTATCTGCGAGCATCTAAATAAAAGGAAGAGTCCTGCATCAGTAGAGATGATAGGATTTAAGCTGAGTCAGCTGAGGTTTGTTGAACAGGGACCTTTGAGCAAACAGAGCAGTCAGTGCCTGACTAATCGCACACAAGTGCTGCCTCTGTAACTGCTTAGTAACAGGATTTCACTCTTTCCTATAGATCCACTGCAGTAAGCATAACCAGCTAAAACCAACCTACCCTGCATACAGAGCCATCTCTAGGCCTTGTCTATTAAAAAGCCATGGCGAGAGGGGAAGCTGTGTCATGATGCTGCAGGACAAGTTCATGGTGGATAACAGGAGAAACTTCTCGGGAAGAGCGGTGCTACAGTGGCACAGGCTGCCCAGGGAGGTGGTAGAATCACCGTCCCTGGAGGTGTTCCAGAACCGTGTGGATGTGGCACTGAGGACATGGCTAGTGGGCGTGATGGGGTGGGGTGGCGATTGAACCTCGGATCTTAGATTTCTTTTGCAACCCGTACGTCCAGCTCTAGGCTTTGGAGCACGACTCTTCCCGCCAGCCCGCTCATCGATGCTCTCGGCATTCCCGCTCACCGCCTCCTGCCCCGCCCCCACTCCTCGTTAGAGGCGCTCGGCGCTCGGCTGGCCTCCCTTGGCGCCGGGCGGCAGTCCCTTGTCTCCTTCTCCAAGATGGCGGTGGCGGGAGGCATCGCGGCGCGAAGCGGCGGCGCGGAGTGAGGCGGCGGCGCGCCTCCTACCTTCCCCTCCCTCCGTTCGGCACCGCAGGCCGGCAGCGCTCGCCGCCACGGGGGCACGCCCAGGCCTGCTGCAGGGGCGGAGCCGCGGGCTGGAGTGAGGCCGGGGCCCGCTCGGGTGAGAGAACGAGCGAGAGGCGGGCGGGAGCGAGCGGGGCGGCTGAGCCCGCTTCAAACGGAGGTGGCGGGGCCGGGGCTCGTGCCTGAGCCCGGGATGTGGGGCGTCGGCGGACCTGGGCTCGCGTCAGGCTCTGGGAGCAGTGGCGGGAAGTGAAGCGAGGGAGCCGGTCCCACCCGGGAGGACAGGAACGCATCAGCCCCCCGGGAGAGCACGCAGGGCCTCGGTTCTGCAGCCGTGGGTGTGAGGGAACGGGAGCGTGGGAAGAGCGCTGCTCCCAGTGCTTCCTCAGTGCCGGAGCAGTGGAACCGAATGGCAATTGTAGTGCAAGACAAGTTCAGGCTATGTTCTTTATGCGCAGGGTCTCGGTCGTGTGTTCCTTTAGGTGTTATCTACCAGTAAATATAGCTGACAGGCTGCTTGCCTAAGAGCAAGTCAAAAAGAGACTGGAAGCTGTGCCTACAGCTACCATAGTGTTACAGAGGGATCCATAAGGACTGTCGAGTCCAACCTCTAGCTCCACACTGGACCACCCAAAACTCAAACTCTGTGTCTAAGAGTGTTGCCCACATATTCTCCAAGTCATCTCTTCATGAATGACTGTCATCAGCTTTGGTTTGCTGAGCAGTATTTATCACCAAACATCCCTAGTTGGAAGGCACCCACAAGGATCATTGAGTCCAACTTCTGGCTCCGTACTGGACCACCCAAAATCAGACCCTGAGTCTAAGAGCATTGTGTGAACACTCCTTGAACTCAGGCAGCTTGAGTCCGTGACCATTGCCATGAGGACCCTGTTCCAGGACCTGACCACCCTCGATATTTAAGGGTAGGCCCTGAGCACAGTGCTTCAGTATTGTGTGTGCTCCTGCTGAAGTCCATCAGACTACGAAGAGCTGAGCATCAGGTCTTTTCAAGATCTCCTTTAAGATTGTCAGATCTCGTAATGGCAAGATGCTTGTGCAGCTGTTGGGTGCGTGCACAAATTCTGCCTACAAATTGAGGTGTTTACTAACAACAATGTCTGGTGGTCAGAATGGTGACTGGAAACATCTTGAGTTGGGTGGTTTCCCAGAACTTGTGTTCTCTTGAATTCTCACAAACTTCGACAGAAACACCTTTGTAACCCTTAGCTTGAAATAGTTGCAACTTTGTTCTTTCACATAAGTAACCACAATCAGATGAATACTTTGTATCCTCCCAGCCATTTGTTTATTAACTCAATGTATACACAAAGATGTAGTGCAAGTTCCCTGATCTCGAAGTAACTTAAATGTGGCTCCATGCCTGTGACAGCTAGAAAGGGCAAACTGCATCATCTTTGTGGCTCAGCATTCACACACAAACATTAAAAAATCATTTAAGTGCAATTGGTTTAATCTCTTATGAAAAGAGGTAATCTTTTCATGTTAAGCCATTTGCTTACCTCACTTTTGAAGAACAAAATCAGTTTTCTTAGAGAACCAAAGTGCAGCTATTACATAGTGATGCTGTTCTTCTGTATGCTAGCAGCTGTAGAATAGAATAACTCAGAAGAGATCTGAGATTTGGAAGCTGCCAGGGGAAGGGTGCTGCAGAACCCCTGGTAAAAAAGAGCACTTTCCACTGTTTCCTTTCCCATGGCTGGCATTCAGAATGGCTGCAGTGGTAGTGTCAGGAAGCTCATCAGCAAGATGTACACCTTCACTACAAAATGTGAAACCCTTAAGCTCAGAGGATTTGAAACAATCTTATAAAGCACAATGATTCATGCCTGTCTTTTCCTTTGCTTCATCTGAAATTCAAGAATTCGTTATTTCTCTTTAACTGTCTCACTCTTTGCTACAGTGGTTTCTGCCAAAACATGTCTTTAATACAAGTTCAGGTACAATTTCGTTTGTGACAAAAATCAAACAGCTATATTCTCCCCACTTTCCATTTCTGTGGATAAATTACGTAAGTGACCTGGAGATTTTACAAGGAAGAAGTGGTCCTGCTACATTTTTAAAATAACAAACAACAAAAAAATCTCCATCTTAATTTAAAAAAAAAAAAAATTCCGTCACATCTGAAGGATGGATGAGGAAGAAGATTTTCCCACTGTCTTCCAGAGAATCTTCATTTTGTTCGGGTGTTGTTTCCCATTTTACATCGTGGTTCTTCCTGATGGGAGGGTTATTTTCATTCTCTGTTTCTCAGAACTTTTCCTGTAGATGGGAACAGGGGAAGGAGCCCAGACGTGGCAACATATTCTCAGGCTTCTGCAGGACCACCATGGCTTATGATGACTCCAAGAAGAAAGAAGGTATGACTGCTTCATAATCTCAGAGGGAGTAGCCAAGAAAAAGGGTACACTCTGCACCCTTACCGGGTCACAGAGTCAGAAAGTGGAAAAGGAAGTTAGTCTCCTGTGGATCATTGAAGGGTATTAACCTTTCAATTTTATCTGGACTAGTTTTTGCAGGATCCCAAGCCCTTGACTTCCAGATGAAAAGTAATGGGATTAGAGAAACGGGTGGTATTTCATAGAGCAAACACCACAGTTGGGAACTCTGCCACTGCAGCCTTTCTCCTCCCAGCCAGGTCAATGAAACGGGAGGCCGGGGGTATGGTTAGTCATGGCAACGTTTTTAAGTTCAGTTATCTTCAGAAAGAAATCTAAAAGGATTAGAAATCAAATCTTGAGAACCTATGTTATAGCAGGTTATATTGGAGCACTGAACCCTGTCCCGTGTCAGAAAGTACAGAATATTATCTCTTAGTCTCTAGTGCTTGCTGGGTTTTGTGCATCATTCTGTGTCAGCGTTCAGTGCTGTACTATTTTGTATGTAGTCCATGTGTCTGTTGTCTCTTGACATGGTATCTCATTTTTCTTTCTTTTCTTGTTTCACATTCATCTTAGAATTCCTAGAGAGTGACCGAAGTGCTGATGACATCAGAGCACATCGAGAGAAAAAGCGATATTACAAGGATGTCGTGCAAGAGGAGGAGAGGATAACAGCTCAGGTCAGAAAGCCTGCAGAGAAAACTTTGAAGGTGTAAGAAAGTGTATAAAGCTTGAGACAGGATGGGATGGGTTGCTTAAAAGTCCTTTTATATAGAAAAATTCCTGTAGAAGAAAGCAAGAGCTGTTAATTGTGTCCTGAATTGTTCGGTAGCTTCGCCGGGTAAATGGAGGGGGTCAGTCCCAGTTAAAACTGATTCTGATTTCTTTGCCTCAGAAAATAGGGCAGTAGTGTCTTTTTCTAGACTTGATGTACAGCCCTGCAAATACTGAGATAGTCTGAATGACTTTTTACATAAAAAAGTAATATTTTTAGAATGTATAGTTGCATAAAAAGGCAGCAAAGTATGAATAAAATGTGAACTCGTGGCTGTTGCAGACAGCCTGAAATTATAGCTGTTGAGAGGTATAAATTTGCCCTGTTTCCCTGGGGCCTTAACTCCGAAATCATGAAGCAACAGCTTAAGTTTCTTTAAAACTTTCCTCTTGGAGCTCTGCTCTTAGATTCTGCTGTTAGCTCAAAGGTGGCTACTTGCAATTGTTTTTAAAATTTTCAATTCTGGAAAAGAAGATCTAGTTTAAAAATGAAAATCTTCTGCCACATATTTGAAATGCTATAGAGGAACTTCATTTTCAGACCATAAATTGGTAAAGAGATTATAATTGCCTTACATGAGCTACCAAGGTCCATTTACTGGCCCATCGTTTTGATTGTCAGCTCTCTGTGCCTTCTTTCACTTCTTTTATCTTCTTCACTATATTAAATATGCGCTGCTCACTTTCATTTTTAAAGCTTGACAGCCTGTGCACACTTAGTTATTTCTCAGCTTGATTAAGAAGTGGCTGTCTTTTACCAACTCATCAGCTGATGTCCAGTGCTGTCTTTCATTGTCTGTTTCTTCTCAAGTGTACTTTTTCAAGTATTCCTGTGTATTAATTCTTTCACTGGAGGAGGGATCCCTATAGAGATTCGTATTTCAGTTTCCTTATGGTCCTATTGTACTGCAGTTTCCAAAGAAGGCTTGATGCCTCTTAGTTGTCTGGTATGCTGAAGCCTATTCTAAAACTGCATTTTTTTGTTCCCTCGTGTATCTGGACTACGCTTTTTGCCTTCTACCTTAAACCTACACTATGGATTCCTGGTGACATACTATGTTTTCTTCGCTGATTTAGCACCTATAATAAGAGTACTGATTCATACATAGGCTTGCTTGGTGTTATAGTAGTACTAGTATCGCTTGATACCTTCCACAAATTATCTCTGTTGGCAGACCATGTGAATCTCATATTATTTCCATCTTGTTTTCAGCTTTTTTTTGTTATTATTATTATTATTCTAGGACAGTGAGCTCTTTTCGGGGACAGAACATCACAAAAAGAAGAGGAAGCATTCCTCCGATGAGTTCTGCTCCAGGGGTAAGACAGCAATCAGACAGGGGAGGCGGATAATGAACTTGGAGGAAAGTATGCTCTTAAACCAATGGCATCAAACGCTGTGGTTAGAGCTTCATCAGGGGGAAAAGTACACCAACTGGGCTTAGGCCAAGTAGTCAGACACCTGACTGATTGGGTTTCTGCTGCACCAAAAGCTAAAGATCAGTACATGATATTTTCAGAGTTTAGCTTAACAAGTTGCTGTTGTTGGAGCAGAGATCTTCCACTCGTCTGTTCACTGTCAAGTTGTAGTTTTCTAACTCATACCTTCCTTTTTGGCATTTGCATTCTTTTTTTTCCCTATTGCATTACAAGCTGCAGTCTTACTTGCAGATAGTACTAATTAATTTATCTGAATTAATAAAAATAGGATGTGTCGGAATACAATATGATTACTTTTTGGTTTGGTTTGTATACAGAAGCATTATTCTCACAATGAAAAAGCTGCCCAGAATATGACAATCCTGTTCATAAGAGCTTAACTGGCTGAAGATTTATTTTTGTCCCAATGCGAAAAGAAAGCCAAGTTATTGGAATATCTTTGCAAGCTGAAATTAGTAAAAAATCTATTTTCAGAATGAAAAAGTTTATGCTATCAGTTCATTGGTCCCTCCAGGGCTAAAAGTAGTGTTATAAGCTTGTAATATTTCAGGCTTAGTAAGGTATATTTTTATCAAAATATGCTGGTTTTTTGTTAGAATACAAACTTTGATGAAATGCAAGAACTTTCCCGTTCTGTCCTTCTTCGTTAAATAGATTGACCAGCTCTGGTGTTACAGCTCCAGAATTGTTTTCTGTAAGGACACACTGAGCTGACTGCAAGTTTCAGAGACCTCCTTCAGCCAAGATGAAAATCACTTAGCTGTAATAAGTATTGCAGGATTCCCACTTCACTTTTGGTTTGTGTAATGCCATCTTTAAGAGAATTGTCTTGATGAGCAGCTCTCTTGACCTTTTTCAGGTCTTTCATCTTTGGATCTGCCATCAAAGAAGAAAAAAAAAGCAGTTTCTAGCCCATCCTCCACTGACAAAAACATGGATCTACTCAAGGCTATCGCCACACCTTTGTCCACAAGCTCTAAGTCTTCAAAGAAGACCTCTGAAAAATCATCTTATTCTTCCTCTGGACATTCTGAAAGCAGAAAGGAGCACCACAAGAAGAAGATGAGTGGGAGCAGTGCAGAGCACTCCGTGGATGACAGCAGCTTCCACAAAACTAAAAAAATGAAACCTCTTTATGTGAACACAGAGACACTTACTCTTCGTGAGCCCGATGGCTTGAAGATGAAACTTATCCTTTCACCAAAAGAGAAAAGCAGTGCAACAGATGATGATTCTTTCTCAAGAAAGTCCTCAAAGAAATTGTCTCGAGATGAACAAGGGTCATTCCATCTGGGTCACGAACTGCACAGCTTCCTGAAGTCATCTCGGAAGAAGCACAAACCTCCAGACTCACATCCCCCTTCTGAGACTTTTGGTAGTGAAACATCTGTTTTTTCAGAAGGCCATGGGAGTGAGTATGAGATTTCAGGTATGGAGGCACAGCCAGAATCAGGATCCTCTTCTGGTGGGGAATTGGAGGCCGGTGAGCTAGTGATAGATGACTCCTACCGGGAAATCAAGAAGAAAAAGAAGTCAAAAAAAAGTAAGAAAAAAAAAGACAAGGAGAGGCACAGAGAGAAGAGGCACTCTAAGTCTAAGAAGAGTTCAGGGCACTCTTCTGTGGCAGTAACAGAGATAACAGTATCACCACCTCCTCCTCCCAGCGCTCCCTATGTTGTTCCTCCACCTCATCCTACTGTTTTTCACTCAGATGGACAAATTGAGAAGAGGAGGAAAAAGGAAGAAAAGGAGAAGGAAAGAACTGAGAAGTGGGAAAAAGAAAGAGAAAAGGAGAAGGAAAGAGAAAAAGAGAAGGATAGAGAAAAGGAAAGAGAAAAAGAAAAAGAAAGAGAAAAAGAAAAGGAAAGAGAAAAAGAAAAGGAAAGAGATAAAGAAAAGGAAAGAGAAAAAGAAAAAGAAAAGGAAAGAGAAAAAGAAAGAGAAAAAGAAAAAGAAAAGGAAAGAGAAAGAGAAAAAGAAAAGGAAAGAGAAAAGGACAAAGAAAAGGAAAGAGAAAAAGAAAGGGACAGAGAAAGAGAAAAAGTAAGGAAAAACTAGGGGAACTATAAATTGGGTGTTGGGTACTGTTAAATTACACATTGTTACAAAGACATGTTAAATTGAAGTTGAGTAATTTCAGCATTGACATCACAGCATATTTGGTGGAAATGTTTCCACTACTGTGTTCCAAGCTTTTAGCAGAAGGAGTATTAATTATTGTTTTGTTGTTTTGTGACATAGGCAGTCTTTAGCCAATATAGTTCCTCTGAAAATGTTATATTTTATATACTTGGTACAGGTTATGTTACCACTGCATCATTTGCTAAGGTAGCTGGTTCTAGATATTACCAGTAGAATTCTGAGCTGTTCTGGCTGTCATGAAGTCCATCATGACAGTTCCTATAGGAAGGAACTAAGTTGTAAGCTCAAATACTGAAGTTATTTATCCATTTATTGGAGTATGTCTAAGATTTCCAGTCAGAATAATTTTCAATGTATGTATATGGATAGACAAGGAGAAGAAATTTTTGTACATCCACACAGACAGATGTTGCTTTGTGTCAACAAATGGGCAGACATAGCCCAAATTTACTCAGCTATTCTGCTTTATGTGTAAAGTTTCCTTTGATCAGAGCCTGACAACTGCTTATTCATCTGTTATCAGTGTACTTGTACAGACAGTTTTCCTGAAAGTATGAAGTAATTAGTAAGAATCATTTAGAAGGACCAAAACATGAACATTGAAATTGAACAAAAACTGAACTGCTTTGACAGATCCACGTTGGTACAGTGGGACAGTTGTGGGTTTTTTTTCAATTGTAAAACTGAGATATGTTTACAGTTATTTGTTGCTCCTGGATTTAGAATAGCAAAAATGTTGAATTAGGAATGTGACGCGTCAATAGTTGTTGCAGAACAAGTCTTCCATTAAAACTGATTCTGGCCAGTTCCTATTGCTTTCAAAACTGCTAAGTTTGGCCACAACATGTAAAACGTGGCTATTTTATCTTCCTTATCCAATCACTGTGTCTTTCTTTAAGTCTTTGATAAATGTCAAATTATTAATAAAGTTGAGTATGTCTCTTTATAATTAAAAACCTTTGTTTCCTTTTTTCTTCCGTCCAGCCAAAGAAGAAAAACATGTCTGCCTATCAAGTGTTCTGTAAGGAATATCGTACCAATATTGTGTCTGAGCACCCTGGGATAGGTGAGAGAAAAGTGTAGCTTCTCTTCTCCTCATTATACATCGGTCTAATTAATTAGCAGGACATACCTTCTCTTTCACACTAACCTCTGATTTTTCGAGGCAGTAAAAAGGACAGAAATTGATTTTATGATTTGCTTCGTTGTATTTTAACCAAGCTGTGAATCTGGATGAAGAAATTTCCTACTCTTTTCTTTCATTTACTTAAAGAGTTGTTTTCTTTGTGTTATTTTTCTGCATATTCATGTGTGATCTTGTATTTCCTGAGTCACTGACAGTAAGGAAATGCACAACGGAAATCATTTTTAGATCCATTAGTGTGGAAAAGGGATTACTTTCTAAATGTGTGTGCATAGGCCAGTTTTTCACACTGTTGAAATTCACATAAATTCCCTGTATCCTTACCATGATTTTATCCTTTAATCTATTTTGAGCATTTCTATTTTTCCTCCTAACAGATTTCGGAGACCTTAGTAAAAAGCTGGCAGAAGTTTGGAAGCAGCTACCTGACAAGGATAAACTGGTAAGTGCATGTGAGATGTTTCTGTGAAATGATTGTTGTAAACTAGGTGCTTAGGTCAGAACACAGCGGTGTTATTGTTCAATACCTTAAAAAAATGTTACCTCTGTCCCCAAACTGTGGGAAAATTGATGATTTTGCCTTTGTGCTCATAAAAGTATCCATTTACTTCTCGTGGCACTGCTTCACCAGTTGGCTACGTAATGTTATTCTACCCTGAGGTCTTGGCATCAGGTAAACTAATTATCGAACATTGTGAATCTGTTTTTATACCATGGTAACTGTAGATCTGGAAACAAAAAGCTCAGTATCTGCAACACAAGCAAAATAAAGCAGAGGCCACCACTGTGAAGAGAAAGGCATCATCTTCAGATGGGGCTCCAAAAATAAAAGGTAATTGCCACACTTTATTTGCTCTACTTGTCGGGTTTATTTTGGAGCGGGGAAGGAGGTGTCTTTACATTTAACTCATCATGTCACTCAACAACAGTGTTTCTTCAAGAGCAAGAAGGATATGAGCACTTTTCAAAAAGTCTAGTTAGTAGAATGGTATTGGTTGTAGCAATTCAGGAATTGAAACATGAAGAACTCAGGGAAGTTCTAGTGGGAATATCTTGCTGCAATATGAAAAAGGGTTGTTCTTGCTTTGGCATCTCCTTTTACCTAATCTCCCAAAACTATCAAATCACACTCAGCTGAGGTACTTGCTTTGCACAGCAGTGAAGGCAGGCTCTGTTCTCCAAAGGTCCACATAACTATTAAACATCTAATATCTTTGATATTTGATCTTCAGGAAGTAAATAGGCTTCTAGGTAAAAGAGTCAAAGTAGATAATACAGAATTTTAATTCCTGTGTTTCCAGCTTCTCCACCAGGAGCCATTTCCCCTCATAAGAAATCTCCTACCAGCACTGTAGTGTTGCCTTCCTCACCAGCCAAAGCCCCTGAGACTGAGCCTATAGATGTAGCTGCACACTTGCAGTTGCTGGGTGAATCTCTGAGCCTCATTGGACACAGACTGCAGGAAACAGAGGTGAGTTTGTCCCCAACAGTGATGTCACACCATCATACATAGGACTGGAGGGATTATTCTTTTTTTTTCTCAAGCCTTTAGGAAAGGAAAAAAAAACCATCAGAGAAGGCCTTTACCAAGATGTTTTAGCATGCCCTGTTGTTTTCTCCTAGTATCATGCTCCCAGTGCTTTCATTAGCCACTACTATGATTTCAGCTTATATGCTAATGTAGGAGATGTCATATTTTCCAGTGGTTTCCTAATGTTAGATGATAGTAATTGTCTGCATACCTGCACACACACACACAGAGGTTTAGAACTCAGCCTAGCTTGTAAGCAGAGGACATATTTGGCTAAAATAACAAATATCAGTGAATTTTATGGCTAACAAGGTCATCTCACTATGCTTTTTTGTTTTAACAGCAATAAAATAGATGTTACTGCATTTTGCTTCTGCTACGACCTCACTGAGGTTATTCTTCAGAAGAATAAATGGAGTAAAAATCAATCCCTTTACAGAATTGCATGCGAACACATTCCCTTTTTGAAAGTATATTGATAACTAAAGCATTTTTACAGACTTACCATTTCTTTAGGCTTCAATAATAAAACATTATTGCCTCTAGCTGATATAGTAGAAGGTACAAAATGGAAAGGAAATTACGTGGTGTAAACTGTGGAACTAAAATTGTACACAAAACTGACAACTTTCTAACATTTTCTGCTGTTCCTACATCAGAATGTTGCCTATTGAATTCTTGATATTTTTTTTTTTCTTTTTCTGAGCTAACAGACTCTCTGTGAAGTGCTTTGCATTGCTTTGTAGGCATGTAAATAATGGAAGTGAACTAGGGAAGTTCAGTAATGAAGATTGTGTGAATGAGAATCAACATAGTTGTGAAGGATCCACAATGTCCGCTGTTTGCCCCTATCCAGTTTTTCTTTCCTTACTTCCAGGGAATGGTGGCTGTTTCAGGAAGTTTGTCAGTACTTCTGGATTCTATCCTCTGTGCTTTGGGGCCGTTAGCGTGTCTGACTACACAACTACCTGAGTTGAATGGCTGCCCTAAGCATGTTTTGGTAAGTTTCTTGTGGTTATTTCCATTCTAGCCCTGTTAATTTCAGTAGAGACCAGCTACACTTTTCTGACGAATCAATCCTGGAATGCAATTAAAATTCCAGTGCAATAAGAAAGTTTTATTGGTCAAGCATTTTTAGTGAGGGATATCTCTTGAAATTCATTGAGGTGTCAGTGTTGCAGGGTATTGTACAATGTTGCATTGTTCTTTTTTTTTTTTTTTTTTTCTTCACTGGGAACTGACCTCATATTTGTTCCTTTGTTTGCAGTGCATATAGGTCCTGTTTTAATGGCTGAATCAATCTATCTAAATCAAATAAAAGCACCTGTACACATAACAATTATTTTTGAAAGCTCTAATTTTCCTTAAAAATATAAAAAGCATCTTCCAGCTGCTTTGTATTATTCGTTCATCCCCTTTTGAGTTGGCAATGTAGAAAATAACGTGATTTCCATTAAGATTCCTAATGTGACTGAGTAGGGCCTCTCACATGTAGCTGTTTCCTTATCCAAGGAGAGGAAAATAGTTTCTGTTTGAAGGAGCTGGGTAGCAACAGGTTCTTTTCCATATTACAATTGCAACTGAGCCCTGATTTAGCAGCAGCTTGTGACCTCACTGTGGCACGGTGTGGACATAGATGAAGATGGCAGCACTATAAACTGAATCAGAAGTTGTACCTCCAGCAGGAGACATGAATAAATGATAAAGTAGAGCAAATATGAAAAATAAGTTTGTAGTCTGCAAAAGCTGAGAGACTGGAATAATATCTGGAATCTGGACAAGAGAATAACAAAAATGGGACCTGAATTAGCATGTTCTGACGGGACAGCCCAATCAGTGATTCATTTTATGAAACTGTTAACAACAAGAACAGATCTGAGAGCTTAGGCTTTGAGCTCCTACAAACTGGCTGTCTATGCAGAAGCTGAGTCAACGGGGTGTTCCCATCATAAGCCATGGAAAAACATCCAATTCTTTTCTCCTTGCTTGCCAATTTAGAACGTTACACCCCTTTTTCACGTGACTAAAGGCTCGTATCTTGGAAACGTGATCACTTTGTTGTTACAAAGGGCAATGATGCTGCAGGTAGGTTAAGGCACTGACCTGTCACTTCGGAAAGCTGGTATTCAAACTTGATAAGAAAGAAATTATTCAGACTTTTACAGTCAGGTATGTAAAGAGAGTGCTATCTTAAGAGGAGTAAAATTGTGGTCATGGTGCACGCAGTATGCAGTTTATCTTTTCGGTCAGTAGATGGCATTGTTAAATTTTAGAATCACCCTTGGTACAGATCCAGTTCTCTGTCTTCAGCAATTAAAAGTCAATTGTTCTTAGGGCCTTCAGCCACCTAACCATAGATCTGAGGTTACTGAAATACTACATTTGAAGAACATACAGATAATACAGTGATTGGTGTTGTTTTCGGATGTGTAAAAAAAGGACTCAATCTCAGAATTCTATTAAATTTGCAGGGAAGACTGGAGGGACACTTCTTTTTCCCTTCTGACACCCTGCTAGTAGGAGTTTTTTCTCTTATACACTGCAGAATGTCTTAAAGGATTTGTGAGTATAATGGCAGGGATTTTTGGTGGAGTTTTTTTGCTTGTTTTTTTCACATTGTACAACTTTGATCACTTAAGTACTTCACCACATCTTCCATGTGGTTGATGTGATGTAGCCAGTGTGGTTTGTTTCAACTTGAAAGGTAGAGCTTAAGGTTCTTTAGGAAGAAATCATTCGAGGAAAGCCACAAGCATTTTGTTGCCAAGTGCTTCCAAGTACTAAGGTTACCTTTGTGCTTAGTTCTAAGTTTTCAAATATGTGACAGTAAGCCAGTAATAAGGTAGTGGTAGGCTAGTGATGACTTATCACTTTGGTTGTCTCTTGATATGGTGACTTGTAAGACAAATAAATGTGCTTAGTACCCTCATCTGTGTCATTTTGGGGATTCTGAGTCACTGCTGGACATTAAAATGTTGTGTTTTTTTCCCAGTCAAACACACTAGACAACATCGCTTACATCATGCCTGGACTTTGATGGGAAAGGATCCTGGGATTTACTCAACTTCTGCGTGCACTGACCTGTGTGCACGTGCATTACACCGGCACTCCCTAGGGGCTCCACATGTAGTGTTTTTGAAGTTTTATATATGTATATTACATGCATAGGATTGTGTTTTATGAAAAGTTGTGAAGCTGAGAGAACCATAATCTCTTGGTGGATGAAATGTGATCCGATATGGAAATATTTGTAAAAGGAATTCAGAAAGATTTTGAGATATTAGCCTTAAATACAGATCCTTTAATGGGGGAAGCAGCCAAAGAAGGTACTTTTGGATGTAAGGAAAAACAAGTAACTGTGAGAGCAGTCATTGAAACAGGTAGCCCAGAGAGGTTGTTGAATCTCCATCCTTGAAGATGGAGCTTTCTCTAGCTGAACTTACTTTAGAAGCAGGGGTTGGATGGTTTGGTTAAACCCTTCACGAGTATTCTGTGAGCCAGAAGAGATGGTAGAATATTTTGGATCAAGGAATGGAACTGAACTCATCACCAGCCCCATTTCTGTTCTTGAGTTTAAAATCTGCTTGAGGGGAAAGCTGGATAGCTGAGCAAGGATACAGAGAGCTTTGCCTCTTGATCACATCTTCTAAGCCTGCTCTTCAGTCAGTAAACAGCTGAAAGTTGTCAGTGTCAGCTCACTGGTCTGGTAGCTGGCATTTGAAATGAAGTTGAAGATAACAATTTAATCTTTTCTTGTGGACGTGCACCCAAGTCATCCCTAGTTTGATGTATCAACAGACTTTCTTGGCTTCAGAGAACGAACTTCCTGCTGATTTTTCCAGGGCGTGGTCAGCCTGCTTTGATGGAGAGCGATGGCAAATGGGAAAATAATTGATTGAAAACTTTGATTTCTGAGACTGCTGACCTCCCTTTCTTTCACCAGCAGCATTGAAAGAGCCACGGTGCTGCTGTGGGATGGTGGCTGATTGCCAGTTAGAAGCAGTTACAGCTGACCAAGGCACGTGTGTGTTGACAGGACTGGTCCCCCTTTCCTGCCACGTGCTCAGTGTTTGGCTTTCCGCTCCTCTAGAAGAGCTGTAGGAAAGCACCTGATTTTCATATAGGCTTTTGTGTGTCTATATGTGTTTACGTGGTGTTCATATCATATGTATTTAACTTTTACCGATATCTAACAGATTTTAATTTATCCTGTACATTACTGTGTACATATATATATGTGTATATACATAATTTAAGAGCAGAAATCCCTCCCTCCACAAGCAGTGGGATCAGGTTCGCCTCACCGCTCTTCCTGCAGGAATCAGCTGTGTGTGCAGCACTACGCATCGGCAGCAGGTGGGGAAAACCGTGAACATTTGCAGAAACAGGCTGACTTGTGAAGCTGAGTTTTCCTCCAGCACCTCCAGCCTCATAGCCAGGTGCTCTGACTCTCAAATCTGTGCTCTTGACCTGAGCCTCCGACCCAGGCAGACACATTTTAACACAAAGGGACAGAGGGATCCTCTTCAGCTTTGTCTTCTCTACAACGGAAACCTCCTGGAGAGCAACAAACTGCACCCAACCCTGCTGTATTGTATTTGTATTTAAAATTTGTACACTTTGTATAATCTGTATCTTGTGGTATTTGGTACTAGAGGGAAAACTTTGCCAAGACTTAGCAGTTTTTATATTTTTGTTATTTCCTTGCCGTTTGATCCAGACGCCCTTACAACACCAACCTTTTTGTACTGTCCTGACAATATAATTTCTTTTTTAACGCTTGGAGTGCTCTCATCCATTTGCGGCGCACATTACTACCGGCCGCGTCCTTCAGCCCCGCGCTGGCGCCGGGCGGAGGCCGCTGTCGTCACGCCGAGACCCGCCCCGGCCCGGCCCGGCGCGCGGTCACGTGAGCGGCGGCGGCACAGTCAGCTGATCGCGGCGCGATGGACTTTCTGCTAGGGAATCCCTTCAGCTCCCCAGTGGGGCAGCGTATCGGTGAGTCCCCCGCTCTCGCGCCGTCCCCGCACGCGCCCCCATTTCCTCTCCCCCGCGCGCCCCCGTGGGAGCTTGCCTCTGTGCCCGGCCGCCCGCCCTCCCGCAGGACCCCTTGCCTGCGAGAAGCGGCGGGCCCCGCCCTCGCGGTGGGATGCGGAGGGAGGTGGCCTGTGAGAGGGGAGCTCCGCTGTGACTGACGGCCGTCTTCGACCAATAGAGAAAGCGCAGCCCGTGGCGGTGCCGTCGGCGGCCCCGCCGGCCAATCCGGGCGTGGAGGGGTCTTGAGGTGGCGAGGCGAAGTTTCCTCACTTAAAGGGGCCGAGGAGCGGTGGTCCGAGCCACGCCCCCTGGCGGCGCTGAGGTCCGTGATTGGCTCGGGGCCATTCCCGCCTGCACCTCTTGGGGGGCTTCGCGGGGAACCCACCCTGCGTGGGCTGCTGATTGGCTGAGCTCCAGCCACAGTGGCCTCTCGGCACTCTGGGCTGGAAGGCACCTTTTACTACCTGAAGAGGCATGGGGGGCAGTTGGCACAGAGCTAGGGCTGCCCAGGGGCGGGAGCTTCGGGCTGGCTGAGACCTGCCGTCTGATGGTTTGTCTAGTGGGATCCTCACCCAGCAGCACCCAACACTGTACTGGCGGCCCTGCTGGCTCTGCCCTGCACCACAGGCCGGATCACAGGGTAGAGCCCCAGCTCTAGCAGTGGTATAAGTGTGGCATCCACTTAGTGACCTTTCAGGCTTGCAGGCATTAAGCGTTTTAGTCCCTGTGCTAAAGACAGATTGCTGAGCACAGAAGAAAATAGCTCAAGAAAGTGGAGCAAAGAGAAAGAATAAGGCCATGGGCAGCTACACTGGTCTCAAAGCAGAGATGCAGTTCTTAAAGTACTTGGAATAAAGATTCTTTTGTTCTCATGTTGTACCATCTGAATGCCTTCAGGTTGTGCTTGAAGAAATGTGGTTGATGTTTCCTGCTTGATGTCTCTGTCTTGTGCAATTTGGCCGTTTCTTGTTTATGCAGTTGCTCAGTGTTGCTTTCGGTTGCCTGTGCAAATCTTTGTGCTGTTCTTCTCTGAAACCCCTGGTTCAATGCATTTGCAGGGGTGAACAGCATGCTGTGAGTGAGGTGGAAAAGGAGAAAACTGCTGCACTTCTTTAAATGCAAACACCAGTGTCCAAAGAAACAGTGGGCATTGTGATGTGAAACTCAAGTACTGGGTGGGATTGGTGAGATGCAACTACAACAAGTTGGGGGAAGGTTGACTTTAATCTTCCCAAACAACGAAAGGTTTTCAATACAGAACAGCTCTACGTGATATTTGATGCCTTCCCAGATGGCAGTCACATGTTTCATCCTGCTTCCCAGGAGATGCGGTCTCCTGCCCTTTTTGATTATTCTAGGAGAGTATCAGATACGTTGTTGTGTCTGGGCAAACTGAAGTCATCTTTAGGTGTTACAGAGCACTTTGTGCCCTCTGGGTTCTTCTGAGCAGTTTATTGAGCAGTCAGATGTAAGTGGTTTCCTTGCTGGGCTTTACTTCTCGTAAAGAAGAGATTTTCAAGCAACAAACCAACAACAAAGAAGAGGAGGAAATTGTTTCAAGAGTGCTGTCAAACAGGAGCTTAGAGTCCATAGTACTAGATGTGTGACAGCAGAAAAATCTTAATGATTGGCATTGACTGGGGTTATTGGTGTCCAAAGGGGTGGAGGATTTGCAGTGTATGAGAAAAGGAATTGAGGTGTGGAGGACTTAAAAAGGGCTGTCAGCTGTAAATACGAGTGTTTTCTCCTTTTGAACATTGCCTAACAACATCCCGGGGTCATAGATAAATGCTATCTTTCCTTTTTAATTTGAGACGCGAACAAGACTTACCTGAAGTTGTTTGGTAGGTCCGTGGCAGCTGCACACTGTGCCCATGAACCTGTTCACCAAGCCTGCATGGTGCTGCCGTTTTGGGCTGTCTGCAGAAAGCTGATATTGCATGTTTGTAAATTACTTGGGCATAGTGATGTATGCCTGATACATCTTATAAGGTATAAAACAGCTTTAGATGAAGGCTATGGAATGAAAAGGAAGTACTCTGGTGCAGATTGATGTTCTCAAATTCCTTCATTAATGTTAATCTAGCAAGTCCCACTTGTTTTGCTGAGAAGGAAACACACTCAGATAATCTCAGTGATTTCTTACAAAAAATATCAGTTGCAGAGGAGTAGGTTTACACCTTTTTATTCCCAATCCTGAGATTTCATCACAGAATTTCACTTTTGTCCTGGTTTTGGATTGTGATCTCTTTCCTTAAGTAAGATGAATACAGCCTTTAAAAAAATGAAGTACTTCTAACCAATGGAGAAATTTCTGAAGAGTGCTAAAGCATTGTAGTTTGGGTTCTACCAATGAAAGGGCAATTCACTTGGCTTCTACCTGGGAGGTAAAAGAAACGTCAGAGTGGAAAACCTGCTTTCAAGGATGCTCTGATAGTAACAAGGCAGAGTGAGAGAATAGAGAGGAAATGAACAGTGCTCTTTTCTGAACCCTGAAGTCTGGAATAGCTCGTAATTATAGCAGTACTGAAAAGGAAAGAGTTTTTTTCTGTGAATGAGGGCAGAAGGCAAGGGAGAGAAGTAAAAATGTACTATGGAGCTGGAGGGGAGTTTTTTATGTTTGGGTATGGGTTAAGCATGATAACCAGGAAAATTGAGGCTGGCGAGAGAGAGCAAGTGAGAGAGCAGATTGCCTCTGCTCATGGTTGAGGGAGAGTAGCAGATAAAATAGAATGTGCCTCACAGCTATTTAAATCCCAAACCCTCTGCAAGTTGGTCCTTAGGAGCTGGTGGGAAGCAGATACCATCTGCTGTTAATGGCATTCTCTTTCCTGTTGGGTTTCTGCAACGTAGTGCTTCTCAGCAAGGCTCAGTCTTGTCTTATGTGCTGTGAAATTGATGAAGAGCTCTTGGATCCCCGAGACTTTGAGCTGATTCACAGCAAAGGACAGGAGGATAAGTTCAGAGACGCAAATACCCAAAGCATTGTGGTAGATCAAGTACATGTCCATCACCACTCTTGAATTAAGACTGGAGATATATCTCAGCTTTCTCTGGAAAGCAAGCTGTCTGTCCCCTGCATCTTTGGAAGAAAGGAAGAAAGGGCAAGGCTGAAGAGGGGAGTCCTGCCTGAGCTGGTACTGAAGATTCCTTGTGAGAAGTGAAAGCATGAGGCTTCTTGAGGTGACTTTCCACAGGATGCTGATTTGGTCCATGGGGTATTACGAATTGAAGGGAGGTTGGGAGAAAGTTTGGATTGCTTTCTGCTGAACCTATGCTGTCTTGTGCAACAAAATGCTGGTGCTCTCAAACTCTTGTTGGAATTGGTGAGAATGCTTTGCAAGGAATTTGAAGCCAGCAGGACTGAGTGCCAAAGGCAGTCTTGCAAAGGGTCTGACTTGCAGCAGAGCGCTGGTCTCTGACAAGCTACAGTAGAGCGTGAAGGGTACAGGTGAAGGGTTTCTGAATGCCACCTGGCTTGTTATGGATATTTCAGGCCTTTGAAGGGGATTCTGTTTGGTATTACCTGTCCCTGACTCCCGTACATTGCTGTGCTGCTGACTGTACCACTGGGAATGGCTACATGGCCAGCCCAGTGGTGGGCCCTCCCCTGCCACATAGGAAGAAGCAAGAATCTAGGAAGGAAACAAAGCCATGAAATTCACACCTGGCACAATGCAACGTGCTACTCCAGTGGATCAGTTATGCTGAGTTCAAAATAATTTCTTATCTTACATTACCGGATGCATTAATGGCTTACAGTCATCAGAAATACATCAGATGCCAGAAAGGAAGATTCAGTGCTTTGTTTTGATTCATGCCACAGCTGTGATTCTGGGTTGAGGTGGGCAATTTGCAAGGCAGCACACCGGCCTCAGTCAAACCGCAGTGCTGTCACACCCAGGAAGCTGGTCTGGCCACTAAAACAACATGGCTTTGAAGCGGCCCTGCAGAGAGCCTCTTGCATACTGTATGGTCTTGGTATCAGGCTTTGAAGAAAGCAGCATTTATAGACCACTGATAACCTCCCCATGAGGCATGCCCTGCATCAGGCCAGGGTCAGCTCCCAGCACACAGAACCAAAAGCTGCCTGATAAGCCCTGCTGAGCAGTGCTCCGCAGGCAGCCAGGCCCTGCCTCCTGTCCTCACTGTTTTTAGGGACTTGTCGGCATGTCAGGCTCAGATTTTATAAGGGGCAGACAGCTCATGTGCTAATTACAGCTCATGAAACAGGGCCAGCCGCTCTGATCTTTCACGTGGCTAATGAATATACTTAGTTTCTTTCTGCAGGCTTTAGTAAAAGGGTAAAGTTCAGGATTTTCAGAGAAAACTCCAACACATCTTATTAGACTTGGGCAGTCCTTCGGTACTTGGGAGCAAGGATTTAGAAGGCATTAGCTGCAGCCCTCCCAAGGCCAGAGGGGATGGGCCTTAATCTCAGTAGGCAGATTCAGAGTGATCGCCTTCCTTTTTTCCATATGCCCTAATTCTGCTGTTCCAGCTGCACGTTTTCTAACTTCACATTGCATTTATGGCAGGTTTGCTGCTTTCCTGCAGCTTTTCACCCACCAGCCTCCTAAGGAAGATGGCAGTGACAGGATCACTGCCCCACTGTGAGGTGACTGTGGGCTGTATATGTCACCTCTGAGGAATCCCCACTTTCTGTACCAGCCAGCCAGGTGAAGGAGTGTGCATGGTTTGTTTGCATTCCTTTCTGGAAAGCAAACCTGCTCCTCAGCTCTGGCAGGGTGAGCACATTTGGAAGAAAAGGAGACAAGAAAGCAAGTTGCAGAGTGGTGCCACGCACAGGGAAGCAAGAGAGGAATGGTGGCAGACTCAGTTCACATTTGTGTAAGGCAGAAGTGAAGATGAGGAGGCTTGGGGAGATTCTTGAACAACAGAGACTTGATGGTTAAGTTCTGTTTTTGTTTAATCCCTGGTTTCTTCTGTAGCTCAGAGCTTCCCAGCAGGCTCAACTCTATTCCTGAGTTGTGTTTTTTTCTTTTTATCTGCAGTGTTTTTTTTCAGGGCTGAGTAGGTTGGATGTGGCCTTCCTTTTGGTAGGAAAAGAAACAAGAGATTGATTTGTGGGTTTCATTGCCAAAGGCAACAATCAGTACAAAGGAACTTCTGGGTAGGCTGGGACGTAAACCAAGGTATGTCCTGAGCAGGAGGTGACCCTCAGCATGGAGGAGAGCAGCAGTGAAGTGTAGCTTCATGACCAAGTGCACCAAGTCTATCAGATCAACCTGAACTGCAGTCTACCTGCCAGCAGGGCCAGTTCTGTGGTGTCCCAGAGCTGGAGAGAATAATTGGAAAGGTGAAAAAGCGTTAAGAACGTTCTGCTGCTCTCCTTCACTGCTTTGCCCTCTTCCATCAGGTCCATGTTATCAACCTAATCACAATGCAATCAGTAGGTTTTGCAGCCAAGAAAAAAGGTGGCAGCTGGATTTCAATGACGTTTGGACAGGTAGCTCCATGCTGTGGTGTGTAGCCTGTGGGAGGGATGTGTACAAGAGAGGGTGTATTGCACAGTGCTGTGAGTAGCTCGCTGTCTGATCCTTAAAACAGGGCATTCCGAAACATGAAGGATCTGCTTACCCAGGCACGAGTTAGAAACATTTTTCCAATGTTATGGCCCCTATCATTATCACTTGCATAGCAGGCATTTCATTTTAGTCCCACAGAGGGATCATCAGCTATTTGGGTTGCAGAGGAGGCTCCCTCTGAAGGGCAGAGGACCCACAACAGCAAGGGCCAGATCCAGATTGTGCAGTGACAGCAGTTCTGAAAAAGCAGGCACTCCTCTGTGTGTTTAAGTAAGTTGGTCCCTGTAAGGAAGCTGGGTCCCAGTTCTCCTGAAGAGCACCTGATAGGTGCTGAACTGGTCTGGCTAGTTTTATTGCCTTGCTCCACTACTAAATCAGGCATCTTATAGGATGGGAAAGCTTGGAAAGAAGGTTCTCTTGCACTATTTGCCATCTGCCGTATCTCTGCATTTTCCCGTGGTGTGGAGAGTGCCTGGTTCTGCCTGCCCACCAGCAGTTGTTTCCCCCACCCACTGGTGGTGACCCTAAAGGCATCACTCAGCCAGTGTGGTTGGGGTGAGACGCAGCTGATTACAGGGTGGAGGCACTGGTGATCTCACTAATAGTTGTGTGTTGCCCAAATCTCTGCCTTGAATAACATCAAGGCTGACTGAGGAATTCCTAATTAAAGGGGACACAATCAAAACTGGAACATGACTTCAGCCCGCAGTCCTTGTCTGTCAATACCTCCCAGAGGCCAGAAATTCAGGGAAGAGATGCAAATGTTAATCAAGTCTTTTAATCAAGGTTTTGCTTGCTTATCTGTTTTTATAGGACTTGTAAAAATTGGGAGGCTAATTCATTTGTTAATTTGATGCAAATAAAAGCAACGCCGATGGCATTAGATACATGTCAGCATGAGCAGGCTAAACTCATGGTTTCCTTTGCTGGCCCTGCAGCAACAAAGCAAATAATCCCCCTTCTCTTCAGTTGTGCAGCTGAAGTCACTTGTTTTCTACTGAGGCCCTCTCCCCTTTTGTGTGTAGGACACCGGAGATCATGCAGTGTGTGTTTGTGAGTTTGCAGCATGAGTGATGTGGGCAAAGCTGTGCAACTGCCCATCCCAACACCAGCCAGCAATGTGCTTTATGGTGGTGACACCTAGTGGGAAGCACTTGGTGGCTCAGGCTTTGCAGCTTTATTCATGTTAAATATTATGGTGGAATCCAGGGTCAGAGCTGAAGAGCAGCCCATGAGAGTGCCAGGGCCTCTCTTAGCTTTATCCTGTCTTGGTTTCTGTTTTCCAGAGAGAGCCACCGATGGATCCTTGCGGGGCGAGGACTGGTCTCTCAACATGGAGATCTGCGACATCATTAATGAGACTGAAGAAGGGTAAGGGAGCTGGCAAAGGTTCTCATTCAGCAGCAGGTCCCAGCACGCTTCCTGTTACAATATCCCTATACTGCAATGGCAGCATGCAGTGGTGGAGGTAATAAACTGGGCTGCCCAACGGTCCCCTAGATGAGACTCTGCTGGGGCATCTAGAGACAGAGCAGAGCTGTCAGAGTATCTGTTAGATGCTTCCCTGGGATCTTCATGAGCACAAGGAGCCATTCAAACAGGCCTATGAGGTCTCCAGAGAAATCTTGATTCAAGCCAGGCTGTCTCCCATCTACCAAAGACACATTTGCAGTTCTTTCACTTTGATTTATTCCTCTTCCTTATCCCACTCTCCCCACTGGGAATGTAAAAGTCTTCAGGCCAATGACTGAGGAGAGAAGAAAATCTCAGGCAGGTCCTGCTGGGGTTATATTCTCAGTTATTTTCATATACAATCACTCTGACATGCACAAATGTGGGCATTCCCCCCGAAAAGGGATGTTAGAAATCTGCCAAACGTGTTAACTCTGGAGCTGGGGATTTGCCAGTGAGTCCTAGGGGATCTGCTCCATCTCACAGTGGAGATGTCAAGAACAGCATGTAAAAAAGAAGGTGATACATGGAATGAAAAATGTGGGTTTCACTCCTGCTGTCCCACCTCACAGGGAGGCTGATAGATAGCCAGCTCAGTTTGAAACTTCACAGTTCTATGGAAACAAAGTCAAACGCCTTTTCTTTACAGATCTGTCACACCTTCCCTGCTCTCCCCTTGGTACAAATATGCCTGTCTTTGCTAACAGTTCTCAGTCCCAAGCTGTTACCACTTTGTGTTTCATTTCTGGGCTGTTGCTAGCACAGCTGTCTCTCCCACTCTCCTGCTAATGCCCATCTATTGCAGCTTCGCTGCCCCATGGGCTCCCAGGTGCTTCTTCATTATCTTGGTGTCTCCAGCTCATTCTTATCTTCCAGTGCTGCTGCTCTTCCAGGCCAGCCTTTCTTCCCCTACTCTACTGGAGCATGTTAGTCCTTTTGTACCCTCTCACAAAACCACAGTTGTCCTGCTATGCTGCCTTATATGCAAGATTTTGCCACTGCATCTCCCAAACTTCTTTTTAGCCTCCCTTCCTCCAGGGAAAAGTTTAAACAGTTTATTTCTAAACATTACAAGGATTGCTTCTCCTCTGTCCTATGCCAAGCTTGTTGTGATCTTGTCTGCATTGTCACTGCCATGGGATTTTGCTTTACCCCAAACAGTACATTTCTGGTGTTGCTTTTACTCTCTATTTTATCTGTACACCTTGGATTGTTGCAAACATCAGCACAGAAGCCTCCAGTTTCAGCTCCAATGCTCAGCAGCAGGACCTAGCTCCTCTTGCAGAACTAACAGCAAAAACTGCTTTATCGGTCATTGCTTCAAGATGCACTGAAAATGTGATGGGGAGGATCAGCTACAAAGTGCAAGACTCTGGATGTCCATGGCTGTTTTGCTTTGCTTCTGCCTACGTAGGTCTCACCCTTCTGACGATCTTTCTCCATTTGCTTTTTCCTGCAGACCCAAAGATGCTTTCCGAGCCATAAAGAAGAGAATTGTAGGGAATAAGAATTTCCATGAAGTTATGCTGGCCTTGACGGTGAGTGGTCACTGTTCTTTCTTGGTTCCGTGATTCTTGCTGTAAAGCTGAGTCCCCAAGTGCAAAAACTTGGGCACCCAAAGACAAGGCTAATATATGCAGGCAGAGAAGACTGTAGCTAATGCTTCTTTGCCTTCAAAGGTCTTGGAGACATGTGTCAAAAACTGTGGCCATCGCTTCCATATCCTTGTAGCCAGCCAGGACTTTGTGGAAAGTGTCCTGGTGAGAACAATCCTGCCGAAGAATAACCCACCTGCCATAGTACACGACAAGGTGCTGACCCTCATCCAGGTGAGCCAAAAAGAATGAGCATCTGCACCAGTGAAGGGACTGGTTGTCTTTAGGTATTTGTATGTTAGTGTAGTGTAAATTATGTAAATGATAATATAAATGGTTATCTCCTTCTCCCTAGTCCTGGGCGGATGCTTTCCGCAGCTCACCGGACTTAACTGGTGTTGTTGCTGTCTATGAAGACCTTAGACGGAAAGGCCTTGAGTTTCCCATGACTGATCTGGACATGCTGTCCCCCATCCACACACCGCGGAGGGTATGGAAGCGTTTCTGAGGAGAAGGGAGGTGTACTGCTGCTGTTCTGGAGTTGTGAGGGTGCTACAGTAGTTCTGGATTGCAGTTAGAGGAAGTGGGGAGTGAGAAGCTGCAGGAGAGTCTCTTTGCAAGGCCACGGTGGACAAAGTGATTTATAGCTATAGGGTAAGAGCTTTGAGGGAGGTGAGGCAGAGAAGTTGGAAGTCTAACTGAAAGCAGATGGGGACTTGACATTAACATTTCTTTCGTAATTGTACTGTCCTGTCAGCTGTGAGTGTCTAACATCTCTGCCGCTGTTCCCACCTCATAGTCTGTGTATAGCTCCAACTCCCAGTCTGGACAGAACTCTCCTGCGGTCAACTCCCCTCAGCAGATGGAGTCCATCCTCCACCCTGTCACCCTGCCCTCTGGGAGAGACACTTCCAGCAGTGCACCCATCACACCCACACAAGAGCAGGTGAGTTGGACACATACCCTCTGCTGCTGCTAGCTGTCCCTCCACATGGGATCTGTTTCGCAGATGCTGTTCTGAGACTGCTGTCCTGCTCCTTCCCCAGCCTAGATCCTTAAGGAGCCGTTCCAAAGTGTCATTCAGGGATTTTCTCCATTGTGGTCGCAGTGTTACCACAAACACAGAGTGGTTATGCTTCCCTAAGACAGGGCTGCTTGCAGCTACTGGAAGGATCTCCGGTCTATAGGGAAGTGAGGAGCTGAGACCTACAGGCTTTGAGCAAGGTCTTTGTAGTACAGTGGAGCAGAATTTTGCTCTGTAGATGCCTCCGTATCATCTTTGTTTATCTTGACTCACAAGTGACTCCATACAAATCAATCCTAACTGGCTATGCAGCTTGCATAGACCAGGGCTTTCTCAGTTGTTTCTTCATCCTCTTTTCTCCTTCCTCACCCTGACTTAAGACACCAAGTTCAGCATCAATTCTCCAGCTGCTAGTAGGTTGCATCCCCTTGCAGAACAGAGGGTAGAAACTGCTCTCAAGGAGCTCATTAGTAGCCTCTGAAACCAGAGAGAAAAAGCTTCAACTGCACTCTTAGCCCAGAGTCACCTTCTGAATGGGAATTCATTTTTTCCAATCTGCTGCCTCTGAAATGAAATCATGTGAGTGACTGCCACAGAGGAGCTGCTAGCTGGGGTGAGATTGAATCATAACAGCAGCCTTTGCTGGTTATTAAAAATCAAGGTTAGGTATAGTGGCAAAGGTTCCCAGTGAGAGCCTGGCATCTTTTACCAGCGAGTGAATTTGATGGTAAGTAATAAGGCTTCCTTCTGCTGAGAGCTCCCGGGAACCAAACTGAGCAGTGACAAATGAGTTCTCCAGTGGCTTTTCCCTTCAGCTTTGTGAATGCATCCGCACTGTGCGCTGCCCTTCACAGCTACCTCAGCTATCCCCTGGCCTTCACGGGGTAAGTAGTCACTTCCACTCCCTTCTGCAGATCAAGAAGCTACGCAGTGAGCTGGAAGTGGTGAATGGGAATGTGAAGGTCATGTCAGAGATGCTGACAGAGCTGGTGCCATCCCAGGCTGAGACTTCTGACTTGGAGCTGCTGCAAGTAAGGAACACAAGGCAGTTACTGGTGGGACAGAGGGCTGGCACACGGAGCTCAATTTAGCAATGAGTTGATGAACTGAGACATTCTACATGCCAGGCACGGGGAACAATTGCACTGGAACAATTCAGTGTGGGACTTCGCAGGGAGTGATGGGATAAGGGAGACATGGGGGCTGTGAAGTTTCAGTGGCCAAGGAAATTTGCCCTGTTGAGGCTGGAATCATCTCACACGAAGACCTATAATCCCTGAGGGCCTTTATTCCTGAATAATATGTTAAACAAACGGTATGCAATTATTGCAAGGACAAAGAAAACTAGTAACTATAAATCCCAGACTTGGTTTATGTCTCATACCAACTTCTTTTCATCCTCTACACTTGCTGATAGACTCCAGTTGGCTCTGGAGTCTGTCTGTTGCATTCGGACTTCCAAATCTGCAAGTGCTCAGCCTGAGCCTGACCTTTGTGGTAACTTTTCTTGCTATGAGCAGGAGCTGAATCGGACATGCAGAGCCATGCAGCAGCGTGTGCTAGAGCTGATTCCCCGTGTCCAGCATGAGCAGCTCACTGAGGAGCTACTCCTCATCAATGACAACCTCAACAATGTGTTTCTACGCCATGAAAGGTACCTCTCTCCTCCCTGCTCTGCTCCTCCACAAGAGCTGACTGCCCTTTGGTAGTTTATCCCAGCTTTTGATCTGCCCATGAATGTAATGCTCAAGGTGTGTCAGCCTCTATTACCCATCTTAGAAAGAAGAGCCAGTCCTCAGATCTTGCTGACTTATCCATTCCCCTTCAATACACTGTGTTTGTTGCTGATAGAATATGAACATAACCCAGAAGAAGAAAGAGACTGCATGAAAAGAGCTGGCTTTCTAGCTCTCAGGCAGACAGACATAGAAAGCACTTGCCTAGGTAGAATCATCACCTGTTTTTGTCCTCCATTTCACCAAACTCCTCTCTTCTACTAGGGTGAAGAGAATTTGATCTCCTCTGTGTAGGAGAGCTGTGTTTGAACCATTTTGATTAGAAGTAGCTTTGAAGTGTCACAAGAAGCTTTCTTATGTCACATCTTTGGAGACATATCTTTGGAGACATCAACTCTGAGGGCCCTTTCGTGGTGTCTTCTGTGTAGGGGAGAAATGGGGCCCTGAACATGGTCCCCCTTTTCTACTATGTAGGAAGGGGCAGACTATGCCAAGCCTTACTGAGAAATCTCTTGGGCTGAGGGTGAATTAGTACACACTACTGAAATGCATCCTGTTGCATCCTGTCATCTTCCTTGCAGGTTCGAGCGAGTTCGGACAGGACAGCCTGTTAAGGTAATTCAAAGCTACTGCCTTTTGTACGGCTCAGTTTGCATCCTGCACAACCTGTGATGTCTTGCTGAGCTGAAAAGAGATTCAAACTGCCCCACTTACAAGCTATAGGCTTTTTCTCTCCCAGCCCAGACACACCAGACCTCATCAGTGTGTAAGGTGCTCCATTTCCCATTGCTAGACTTTCCTAGCAGTAGGCCCCTTCCCCTCACACAAAGAATAAAGACAGACTAATAGTAGATGTGGTTTCTGGGTTTTGAGCATGAACATTTCTCAAATGAGCCACCTTGTATCATCACTGGCCTGTTGTCTGAGCCAGCACTTAACCTACTGACATCCCAGCAGAGCTGGGACTTGGGTACCAACATGTATTCTGCCCTATTCCCAGCCAGTTCTCTCATCATTGTCCCACTTCTCCCAAGGACAGGCTTCCCAGTTGATATCTTTCAATGGGTACAGTAGGGCTTCCCTTTTCAGTGTTAATAATCTAGGACTGGGGAGTCAAAGCTTCCAAAGCTCACAAACTCTTCACTATCTTCTGGGTTTTTTTTTTCTCCAAAGGCACCAAGTGAGGCAGAGAATAACTTGATTGACCTGAGATCCAGTACACCCAGTACTCCGTCTGTAGTGAGACAACCTGAAGTCACCAACAACCTCTCCTCTCAGCTGGCTGGAATGAGTATGTTGCCACGCAGTATTCTCCTCAGTTTTTCTCCTGTGCTGCTGTAAGAAACCTGTAATGCACTTCAGTTACCAATTTAGCCATATTCATAAAGTAGCCTAGACAAATTGACTATATTGTCAAATAATAAACTAATGAAGAAACCCGTGCATGCCAAGAGATGCAAGCACATGTCTCGACGCCTCAGATTGTGCAGGAGGTGGACCTTCTTATGGAAGGACCTCAGTTCTAGGTTGTGGCTAAGAACTGGGCTTTCCAGCAGGGAAGAAAGTTGCACTCCCTCCTATTCTTAGCAACAGTGCAGTTGTTTCTCTAGCCATGTGGTGTCAGGCTGGCCACCAAGGCTGAGGAGAAGAAAAGCCACTGAACTGTACTGCAAAGGCAGCCATGAGCATTTTGGGCTCAGGACCCAGATCTTGACAGGCTTTCAGAAACCTTGAAGGATCCTGAGGGGTATTCAAGACATACCAACAGTCTACAAAATCATGCCTGAAGTTCTTACTGATTGTGAGCATGCTCAGTACAACTTGGATGCAGTTGAAGGAAACTAACAATACTGTATTTACAAACAAGCCAGTGGAAATAGTTTTCAGGTCAGAGATTTTCAGGTGATACTTAATTCCTGAAAATCCACTCCAGTGGATAACACAGGTTATCCTCTTCCACGAGTTATGAAGCAATTCCATGTGTTAAACGATCAGGAACATCTGCCCTTCAGAATCAGTGCAATAAATTGCTGCTGCTGCTGCCAGAGACTGAGCTAAAAATATCTGCTGAGTAGGAGAAGAAACTGATTCTGTCACATCACCATGACACTGATAACACTGTGCTGCTTCTGAGGGGCAGAATCGATTAGTGGGCCTGGAGCAGTTTAACCTGTTTGAATGTTAGCCTTCCACTCAACACCTCCAAGCCCATGGCCCTCCATTCATGTGTCCATGCTGCTTGCTCACTCTCTTTTTTTTTCCCATAGCCCTGGGCTCGAGGAGCGTGAGTGCAGGGCTGCACTCCCTCGACACCTCTGGCAAGCTGGAGGAAGAGTTCGACATGTTTGCTGTGACACGTGGCAGCTCACTGGCTGAGCAACGCAGAGAGTGAGTGTAGCTGCCCCTCTGTGCTTGCCTTCTTCCAAGAGGGGAGGTTGCGGGGGAATTGGAATTATGATCCCAGCCAGCAAGTTTGTGGGAAGCAGTAGGGTGAAACAGAAATGCACTCTTCCCACACACAGTGTTGTAGGATGTCTTCTATAGTTCCAGGCATTCTCCCTTGCTGCCGTTGTCCACCCTTTACAGCGTTCTCCTGGTCAAGAGGAAAAGAAAGTGGTCTCTGTATACACATCCCTCACCAATGGACATTGCAGTGCTTATTGTGGTGGCAAGGCTCAGTGTCAGAGATAAAGGTGCAGAATGGGACTGGCTCAGTTTTCTTGTCTATCTCTGAAATCATGAGTTCCATTCTGTATCACTGAATATCAATGGAGTCTGATGGACAGAATATTCAGCTGGAGTGCAGACAGTGCACAATCCATTGTGGTTTGCAAGGCAGGGCATTGATCTAGGTCTCAGCTTCCCTCTTGTTAAGTGGAACTGGTTTTTCTTGCTCTGTAGTATGGTTGAGACCTCCTGATGTAAAGCAGTAATAGTTAGACCTCATAGTACTGTCTATACACTGTCTACACTGAAGAGGTCTCTTCTTCAAAGAGTGAATTTTCTGAATCCTCTAACTGGGAAGAGCCAACCAGAGCTGTGCTGACAGGATCCTTTTGACTTGACAGACTTGACAATGATACTCTGTTTCACCTGTCAGAATCACCCAGTGTTCTTCATAGGTTACCAAACAGTAGAGTCCATAGTTGTCTTATGGTTGCCTCCAGCCATCAGAGAGCTGCGCTCCTGATCTCCATCCACTGGAGTGTCTTGCTCAGCAGCTGGACAGTGGCAAGTTAACACCTCATAAAGAAGTCTTCTTTCACTCTCTTGCCTCAGTTTGCATCCATGGACGGCACACAATTTATTCCTGGTCATCTTGTCCAAGCACTGAGCTCCCCAAACTGATTGCCCTGGCAGGCCTTGCTAGGAAGGGATTCTGCTCCTGCTTCATTGACTGTCCTCTGTACTGTCTCCAGTCCACGGCACCCTTCAGGGCACCACACTAATGGGATACATTAGTGAGTACATTAGGCTGTTGGGAAGCAGTGATTGAACACACATGGTTGTTTTGGGCTCAGCCTGAACATGACTGCCAACATTTGCAGCTCTGAACCACTTCATTCAGGGCTGTGAACCCATGTGCAGAGTCCGTCAGGGTGTATGAGACTGCTGCTTGGAGGGTACTCCCAGCACACCACATGGTGTGATGCCTCAGGATGGGACAGAAACACTGGTGCCAACAGCCTCTCTGAAACCCAAGCTGCTGGTATGTGCACAGTGCAAGAGGCTGAGAAACAGTTGGGCAGGGGTGGAATCATATCCTCTCCAATGTGGCGCAATCCTTAACGGACTGAGGCTTGTGATCTTTGCGGTAATGAGGCGTCTTCTATTTATTCCTCGTTGCCCTCCATCTGCTTGCACTTGCAGCCCTGCCAGGTAGTCTCTATTCTCACTGGCTCAGGTTTCCCATTTCACTTAGCACCCTCTGCTCTCAGTATCTCCCTCTCCCTGAACAGACCCACTTCTCTGCTGCTCTCAGGCAGGATGTGCTGGCAGGAGACACAAGCAAGGCAGCTAAGGTCTGTTCCTGATTCCTGATGCTTCATGGGTGTCTCAGCGAAGCAGTGCTTGAAACACCTTAAGCCTTTCCTGCCATTTTTCCTCATCAGTGGCATGGTAGTGGTGCTGTATTTCATCCTTGATGCCATTATCCACAGCGGCCCCTTCACTGATGAGCACTTTTTTGAGAAGTTTGATCAACGGTGGCCCAAGCCCTCAGCCCCCAACAAAAACAGCTCCACATGATGATCTGCTTCAGCTGCAAGAAGGGGCCTGGCTGGAAGGGAAACCTGAGGAGAGCTTCTGGGAGAGGCTTCATTCTCCTAGCATGGATGGATTGTTTTCCCCAGTCTGCATGGATCAGATGGTGAAGCATGGCATTGGCGTGTGTGGTAGCAGCCTGGAGGTGACACAGAAATGGGATAAAGGAGATGCTGGGTGGGACTTGTCTGTGTATAGAAAGAGCTTGCTATAATGGGATGTTTGGAGACTGAAGCAACACCAGGCTTTTCTGATCATCCAGCTTAACCTCCCACATGGTATAAGCCTGTGAGTCTCTGCCACCATCAGTTCTTGAGTGGTGTTGGTTAGAGATAGGATTTTGAGATGTGTTTCTGCTGTGAAGATATATGAATAATACAGGGGCTTTGTTGCTCAAATCCATTCTATAGCAATTGTGATCTCCTGTGCAGTCTGTGTTAGTTATCTCTCTTCTGTAGTCAAGCCCAGGGAAGATCAGTGTCATGTTAGATGCACCTAGCACTGTAAGACTGAGGACTGAGTTTTAGTCTGCTGGACAATTGTTTTTAGGTGATGCCTTGTCATCCCCTTATCAAGTGCCAGAACTGTCCTCTGGTATAAATAGTGATGTTGCAGTGAGTAGATTAGTCTGGTTTACAGTGGGTTGCATTCTTCTTTAGTAGGAGTTTTGTACACCTTTCTAGAAGCTCTTAGGAGGAGAATGGTGAGAGATGAAAAGTTGTGCAGTCAGCAGCCCTGAGTATAAATTTAGAACTTCCCAATCTTCACTCACAGACACTATATCAACCTGTGTTTTATCTAACTTCATGCTTTCAGGGTAAAGTACGAAGATCCCCAAGCCACCAAAGGACTTGCTGGTGCCCTGGATGCCCGGCAGCAGAACACAGGAGCGGTAAGTGGCGACTGAGCCTTTAATGTGTGACCAGGAGTGGGAGTATCCTCCTTGCCCTCCAACACAGTAAACTTGCTGCCTTTATGAAAAAAAAATAATCAAGCATTTATCATGACTGATAACTCCTAGGCTCTGCCAACCTGCATTTACTATCTGGACTCTATACTTCATTACTTACAACCCGGAGGTGGGGAAATGTGAGAAGTCTGAACTTGACTCAGACAGACATAGGATGGCCTTCTTACATCTGCAGGAAATAACCACTTGGAAATACGGTTTATTACACTTCCATAGCTTTCCAAGTCCATTTGCCTCCTCTCTGCAATCAGAGAAGTGGGCCACCAGTAACAGTGTGCACTTTCCACTACCCTAAACCCATTGCCTCCCTTTTCCCTGACCTTCTGCAACAACAGCATTCAGTACAGACTCTCTCTCGACCAGGAGGAGTCTAATGCCTCCAGTGATGGAGCCCAGCTGACTAACTGGATGATGCGGCAAGGAATGGTGAGATGCTGAAGTATCAGTAGGGAGAAAGGAGGCTGGGGCTGCTGGGTTGCAGGTGGCAATGGCACAGCACGTGTGGATGCACTGCAGGCATCAGGAGAGACTGCAAACTGAAATGGAGCAACCCTGGTCTGGGCCAGTTATAGAGACCAGGGTTGGGAAGGAAGAAGGCAGTGTCAGTCCTTCCTCAAACATGACAGTAGGGAAAAATCCCAGAAGTTCTGAGGCCAAAAGAGCATGTGGTGTACAAAGACTGGCCTGTAACAGGGTGGATATCTGGGTCAAAGGCATGAAACAGTGGTATAGGGAAGGCTGCAGCTGTTCATTCCCTTTGCAGCTTCTCCTGCCTAGCATGAGCTGCCACATTTGGAAGAGAACATATTCTGGCTTTTATCACATTGGAGGCCTTCTCCTGCAGATAACGTGTTCAAGCTTTCAAATTTGGTCTTTTGGCACCAGGAATTTCTGCATTTGCATCCCCTCAGGCATGCTGAGGTTTTGACAGTGTCCCAGGTGCAAAGTTTGCTAGCCTTTCTTCCTAAAATGGGCACCGCCTAGACTAATGTCTGTGGGGAAGTTTCCCCACAATTCTCCTGTCAGCTTGAATGCACTACCCAGAGTTCATTTCTGGGTAGACAAAGCCACTTCACTTTGAAACTTCCCTAATTTTACACATCCTCTTCCATCCCCACTCATACATCTGCCCACTGGGGTAACTGTCTGAACTTGCTACCTGGTTTGAGAAAGTCTGCCTGTCCTTGGTGAGAAAGGGTTGCTTTTTCTCTTGATCTTGCCATTTTCTGAGGGTGAGGGAGTTATTCATATGAGGAAACTAAGAAATAAGTTCCTCTAAGAAATAACATAGCCTCTGGCGCTTCTGCTTGTGAAGCTTCTAGCTGCTCAGCTTTGTTCAAAAGCTCATGACTGGAGAAAAGAATCTGGGGGTTTGAATTGGTCTTGGTTTCTGTCAAGGATATCTCTGTCCATTAAAAAGGTGTCTCTGCTTCTTAAATTGGCCAGAGATGTAAAATATTCTGTGCTAAGTCTTCTTCTTACTTGAATTTTAATTATGATTCAGTTGTAGAGGACTTTATCTTTGATTGATTTGTGTCTGTAGTTTGGTGTGATGTCAAATGCTGCCTTGCTCCATGATCCTACCAGGGCATCAATTCTTGGCCCTTCTCCCTCCGTATGGCATCAAACATTTGTTATCTTAAGCACCACAGACTTTGACATCAGACTGTCACTGCTTTGTGGAAGGGAGGTGATGTGGAGTAAAGCACATCTCCTGTTCACTGGCTTCCTCACACAAGCAGACAACTTCCATCTTGTGGGTCCTTACCAAAGTCTCATCTTGTGTTAATACCCCAAAGTCAATTGCCAAACCCCAGATGCTTTTAATGTCATGTATCCTGGAAATTATGCATGCCTGGGTGTGAATGGGGCAGAGGAAGGAGGTGAACCGTTGGCAGCTGGGAAAGCTTTGCAATGGCAGTGGTGGGATTTTGAAGGGCTTGAACTGACTGAATGATGGGGCAAGAGGGTTAGATTTTGGGTTGGGCTTTCCTTTTGCAAAGCGGGTTTCAAGAACATTCTCTCAGCCTTTCTTTCCTCTGTCCCAGGTGCCAGTTCCCCAGGCAAATTTCATGGAAGACATAGAAAAGTGGCTGTCTACTGACGTGGTAAGTGAAGGGCTGCTTATCTGTAAGCAGTGGTGCTGTCAGAGTTGCCTGTGAGGTTGGATCTTGGGCAGTGTACAACAGCGCTGGCACTGCTGTGTGTGTGGCACAGGCTGCTTGGAAGGACCAGGTCAGGAAAAGCTGAGGACACAGGATCTGGGCTACCGTATCAATATAAAAGCCTCTAATCATGCCCTTCTCCTTCTCCAGGGAGAGTCAGAGGATGGAAAAGGTGTCACCAGTGAAGGTAAGAGTCACCCGCAAACGGCTTTTCCAGCTGGCAGCACTTTGGCTTTTCCACAAACCCCCCTCCTTGTTAATGCTCCACTCTGCTTTTGGCCCAGAGTTTGACAAGTTTCTGGAAGAACGAGCAAAAGTTGCAGACCGACTGCCCACTTTGTCCAGCTCTTCAGCAGGGACGTCTGTCTCCCCTGCTGCTGCCAGCCGTCATCAGAAGCAAGCAAAAGAAGATGATGCTATGTTTGCCTTGTGAGCACGACTGACTGGTGTGCTGTGGAGCAAGAGGCTGTGTGTGCTGTTTTGCTCGCCTCCAATCCGGGGCCAGCAGGGGAAGGACTCTATCCCCTTCCTCCACTCTCTTCCTGTTTTCTTTTTGAGTTGTTTTTATTTTAAAGCTGCTTTCATATTTCAGATAATCATTGTTGTGTTCAGGGACATTCTGTGTCACACAATAGGCTTGTGAAGAAGGTTTTCAAAGCTGCTAGAGAACATGGGAGTTCAGTGGGCGTTTTTTTTTGGTATGGAGTGGGTAAAGCAGAAACTCCCCATCCTCCTCTCCAGTGAGTCAATCAGAGATCTTGCCCAAGAAAGAGGAGAGCCTGCAGCCTGCTGCTGAAATCATGCCTGCCTGCCTCTTTCCTAGCTCCCTCTCTAGAGTGGGCCTCCAGCCCTCTGCCTGCCACTGTTAGCCTGGAAAGCAAAGGTGGTACGATATGTTACAGGTGGAGGAGGAAAAACACTAATGGCAGTGGAGCCCTATTGCTCTAGTTTTTCTTGCACAAGTGCTTGTGGTATGCAGCACCTCACTCACAACCCCTTCTCTTCCTTTCCTACCCGTCAGTTTATCTGGAATCTTACCCACATCCCTTGTTTCCTTTGCATGCCAGCCAGTTACCAAAGCCCCTGGCAGCAAGCAAGCCTTGAGCTGCAAATGGTACACAGCCTGCAGGCTGAAGGGGCTGTCTGCTGTGGGTTAGGATGTGCCTTCAGCAAACTCTTTGCAGTTAATTTAATTCCCCTGTTACCATCCTTTCCTTCCTTCTTTCCCCAATACGACCCTGCCTCTATTTTGCTTCCGCTGATGCCTTCCACCACATCCCGCTGTGATGCAGGGAGGATCTCTTAGCCTCGGATCCAGCTAACAGCTGTTGACTCCCTGTGTGCTGTGGCAGAGAGCTGTGTTCCCTAAAACAGGAGGCCCTCATAGGCACTGTTACACTGGTGGGAGCATGCTGTTGCTGGGAGAGCTTGTTCAAGCTGGTGAGCGCAAGAGGGGAAGCGAGACATCAGTCATCTCGCAACAGCAAAGCTGCCCTGCAGCAGCCAGGAGCGACTTGCACTTAGGGGAGAAACCCCTTCTGAGCAAACCACACACAGTGCCTGATCCTGTATGGCAGCTGGGGAGATGGGTGCCGAGCCTGGGGCTCCTGCTCATGGGATTTCCTGCTGAATGTGGGAGAGTTGCCTTTTTTATTGCACATTAAAGGAGCAAACTCTTGAACCTCCGCTGAAGGAACGCGTGTGTTCTCTGTGCCGGCATGGGGAAGGGAGAAGAGGAATGCAGCCATGTGGCCACATTTGCTCTCCAAGTGAGGACACAGTGGTGCTGAGAGGAGCCATGGCATGGGGCTGAGGGTGCTGTGAGTCAAGGCAGGTGCTGGTTCCTGGAGAGGTGGCTCCAATCCATCCCAAAATAGCAAGAGAGTGAGCTACCTCCTCCCCATCCCCCTTCTGCCTTGTGACCAGACCCAAATGCACATCTCAATCCATAAATCACTCAAAGACATGCAAGAAACAGATGCTCTGAAAGGGCTGTATGGTATCTACAGCTGTCCCTGTGCCATCACCTGGTGTCAAACTGGGTGGGAGCTTGGAAAACCCTTGTAAGTGGTGGAGTCGCATCCCTGGGGGTGTTCCAGAACTGTATGGATGTGGCAGTGAAGGACATGGTCAGTGGGCATGGTGGGGATGGGCTCATGGTTGGACTGGGTGATCTTAGCGGTCTTCTCCACCCTTAATGATTCTATGGTCCCATGATTCCATTGGATAAGAAAAAAAAAAAAAAAAAAAACCACACACACACAAAAAACAACAAAAAAACCAACCCACAAGGCTGCTTGCTAATTTCTCCCAGCAGATGGCTGTAGTGCCTCACACGCTGGCTGCCTGAGTTCTGCAAGCTGCGGAGGAAGCCCTCTCACTTTGCAGTGACCCGCTTAGAGCTGGCTGCGCTACGCAGGACGCCCAACCAACCAAAGCTGTGCCTTATTCTAGGAATTACGCCGCCTTTAGCCTGGCACAGCCTCACACGGTGACCGCTCCGGAGCGTGCGCATGAGCGCTGCGTGCACACATAGGTTGAAGCATCCATTAAAAGTCACCCTCGGAACAAGAGCGTGACCCACATAGACCTTTTACATTTCCGGAGTGCTTGTTTTTATGTAAGCTGAAAAAAGCCAGAACCTCCCTGCGTTGGGTCAGATTTGCTCCTTATCTCTAAAAGTTAAGCACACATTAAAAGCTCACGAGAATTTCCATGATGTTTGCGTTGTGCAGTTCTTGACACATCAGTGTTCCTCAAGGCAAACAAACAAACAAAAAACACAAAAACCAAATAGTATATGAAATTTATTTTTAAAAAACAGTAAACAAATTGGTCTTCTGATTTCCCACAGCATCTCACGCATCAGCACAGTACCCCTTGCTGGTTCACTGGGAAGGCTGTTCTCTACTCCACATCTTGCTCTACAGTGCCAAAACTTCCTCAAAGCTTATTTGGGACAGCAAGATTCCCTCTTCCTTCCCAATTGAGAATAAAGCCTCTTCCATTTCTGTTCAAGAGGGAAGGGAAGGGAAGGGAAGGGAAGGGAAGGGAAGGGAAGGGAAGGGAAGGGAAGGGAAGGGAAGGGAAGGGAAGGGAAGGGAAGGGAAGGGAAGGGAAGGGAAGGGAAGGGAAGGGAAGGGAAGGGAAGGGAAGGGAAGGGAAGGGAAGGGAAGGGAAGGGAAGGGAAGGGAAGGGAAGGGAAGGGAAGGGAAGGGAAGGGAAGGGAAGGGAAGGGAAGGGAAGGGAAGGGAAGGGGAGACAGGCAAATGTGCAAAAAATGCAGGGAGAAAAGTAGGTGCCAAAGTGCTCAGGAGCAAGGAAATGGAGGTGACCAAGAGGAGGTGCATAGCAGCGACAGCAAAACCTGAGCAAGGAAGCAGGGATTTAGGAGTGTGGATTTTCAGGAAGAAAACTTCCCATTTGCTTTGTGCCATCTCCTTGCAAAACCTTGTGAGCAGGAATGCCTGGAGCTGCAGCTGACTTGGCCTGCATGGGCTGAGGTCACTTCCCTCTGTTAGTGGGGTTGGAAGAGGCCATGGGGCTGGAAGCAGGGGAGATGGGCAGGATTTGCCCTTGGCCCCAGCACCCAGAAGGGCCAACAGTGTCCTGAGGTGCATCAAGCACCTGGTTTGATTTTTAGGCAATCCTGTGTGGAGCCAGAAGTTGGACTTGATGATCCTTATGAGTCCTTTCCAACTAGGGATATTCTTTGATTCTATGATTATTTAGCTTAAGAGCTGTGGGCACAGCCCTGAGGGCTTGCCATTCCAAACACTGTTTGGGCATGAAGGCAAGGATGTTCTGCCACACAGAGGGACCAGCTTCCCAATGGGAGAAGTCATGAGAGATGCCTGCTTTTTCCCAAAAAGGGGATATTCCTGCTCTGTCGCACTGATCACAGCATATGGGGCTCTCTGAGACCAAACCCTACCCCAAAATGCAGGGCTTTGGAGGAAGCTGGGACTCAAATGTCCCTGCTCTGTAGTTATGTGCCAGCTGCCTTCTCACCTGGCAAACCAGATCAGGGCCTATTTCTCCTCATTCGTCTTCTGCTTTCAAATGAAAGCCCCTGCAAGCGGCATCAAGGTTGGGAAACAGTCTCACCTACCTGCCCTGGAGTGATTTTTTTTTTTTGCAATGAATGAAGAAAAAGGGAGGGGAAGGGGTAAAAGGGCTATGCCTTGGATCAGCCCCTTCAGTTCAGCATACTCTGTGTGCCAGCTCTGAAATAAAAAGCTCCTTCACACTCACCATGTCTCTGTGTGTTCCGACAGTGAAGCAGGCACTCATCCCACACCCTGTCTGTGCCCCAGTTTCCCCCATAAGGAGCAGGATCTGTCCCAGTCCTGGGACCAGGGCTCCAGCATCTCCTGCGTCCTGGGTCAGACCCTCAAACCTCACAGCCCGCGGGGTGGGAGCTCCTACAGATGCTGAGTCACTCTTTCCCCGAGAAGCCATTCTGCTGAGTCAGGGTCACGCCAGGTCACTGGGTTTTGCTGAGCAATGTTTCTGGGCTGCGGCAGAGGGGCTCTTAGTTGCTGAGTCACGGCAGAGAGGAACCACGTGAGACTGTTTATCAGGAGGGCGGCTTCCACAGGCTGTGCTGAGGTTGCAGCTGTTGTTCCTGGCCCTGCTCCCATTCCTCAGGATGACCGGAGAAATCTCCAGAAATAAACCCTAGCCCCTCAGCACTGCATGGGAAGTGCATCTCCTGTACTCCAGTTGGGAGCCACGTAGTGGGCTGTTGGAAGCAGTGGGGTACAGTGGGGTTTCACTCTCTGCAGAACTTGGTTTCCAGTCTGCCTCCTCTCCTCCACTGAGTTGTGGTACAAAGTCCAGCTCAGTGCCTACGTGCGAGTTCTCAAATGCAGCCACTCGCAGCATGCCCATGTCTCAATCAGGGTGCACTTTGCTTCACGTAGGGCTATTTAGGGTTTGCATTTGATAGCTGCCTTGCTCCCATCCACACTTCCCTGTGGCTTGCAGACCCCAGCCCCAGCAGATCGAAGGGTCTGTCCCCACCAGCACCAAGCCCCAGGGGAAGCCCTTATCCATGCATCTGGAACAATGCGTATTGTAATCACCGCTTCCTGTTTCTGTCACCCCGAGAATACAGCACGCACGTCCATCCCCCACCACATCCGTCTCTGAGGCCACTGCATGGGGTCTGTGCAGAGCTGCAGCATCTGTCCCCCAGAGGTGCCACCATCACAGCCCCACAGGAAGGACCCCGTGGATCTTGGTGCTCCCACCCGCTGTGCACCACCTGTATCTTTGATCTGGGTTCGGGTTGTTCTGAGCTGAGGGCAGCGAGCACAATCTGTTCTGCCAGGGCAGCCTCCTTTTGGTAAACACGAGTTAGCACACAGCACGTCCTGCGGAATCCAGCAGTGACTCTTTCCTTCCACAAGTAGCTGTACGTGGGTATTGCAGCTGTGTGGGGTTTTCCCCTCTCTATCACGCAGCAAGATCTGGTTGCTGAGTCAGCCCCCCTCCCAGCCAGGCTGAATTCTGCTGTGTCATGGTTTTGGTCGTCCATCTGGCCAAGACTGGCTGTGATCAGGCGGTTCCTCCTCGAACTGGCCAAGCTGCTGAGAAGCAGTGCACCAGAGCCAAATGAGGAGCAGTACTTCCAGAAGGCAGGAGAGCTTTGTACTCTGGTGCAGACGGTGTAACCAGAGGGTTCTGACTGTGAAATCTATGGTCAAGACAAGCTGTTAGACCCATAAAGAGGAAAATCTTAGAATGATAGAATCATTTAAGTTGGAAGGGACCTTTAAAAGATCATTTAGTCCAACTCTCTTGCAATTAACAGGGATACCTACAGTTACATCAGGGTGCTCAGAGCCCCTCCAGACTGACCTTGGGTGTCTCCAGGGATGGAGCATCCATCACCTCTCTGGGTGACCTGCTCCAGAGCTTCACTACCTATATTAGAAAAAACTTCTGTATTATATTCAAACTAAATCTCCCCTCTTTCAGTTTGAAATCATTTCCCCTTGTCCTATTCTAGCAAATCCTGCTAAAAAGTCTGTCCCTTTCAATCTCCCACATTTCCCTTCCCCTGATGGAAGCAGTGACTCCACAGTGTCTTCTGTTGCTGGTAACCATTTCTCTAACCTATCCCATGACTTAAACATTTTCTCAAAGACTCAGACAGGCAGATAGAGGTATTTAAGCCCATCACTATCACAAATATCAGCCTCAGGCTGCTTGATTTATCTTCCTACAAATCCCCCAGGCAAACTCAGCAGCAGTCCCACACAACACCATCCCCTCCGGCACTGTGCAGCCACTGATCAGTGAAAGCACAGCAGAAGCAGAGAGGAAGCAATGCAAGCCCTCACTGCAGAGCACTGGATGAAGCCAGAAAAGCTCCAGCCCAGCGACTGCAAAATTGATGACAGCCTGCTTTCAGTTCTCCCTCCATCTCACTGCAAGGTTTCCGAGTTTTTCTGGAGTGAGGAACCTGGCCTCACAGCCTCTCCGCCTCCAGTAACCCCAACCAAGTCAGGCACAAACCAGGCCTGGGGGATGGCGTGCTTCCCTGCTCCCATGGGATTGCTCACAGAGGACTGAGCTGTGCCTTGGCTCTTGTGACTTTTTTTCCTGTGACCATCTCAGAAGAAGGCAAAGGCCCAGATGCAGAAGATGGTACACTGGAGGACACCTCAGAGCACAAA